GACGTACACTGTACGTCTCCCGTCACGAAGGGGTTAAGAAGAGTAAAGTGTAAGATATCAGAAATCTATTTGGTCGGCAGTAAGGAATCATGTGAAAGGGGGGTTAAGAGGCTTTTTCTGTTGTGTGGCGGGACGGAACGAACGGGGATGCCGTTAACTCATCAGGCGCCAGAACCGGAAGTCCCAGCCGGTTTCTGATAGAACATCATACCTGGGCTTGTGTGCCAGCAGAGGGGGTCCTGTGTGCCTGCTCTGGCACGCGTACCATAGGTTCGCCACCACTGACCTAGGTCCTTGACATACATTGTTGGGGCCAAATCACATCAGCCCCATTTTGCACCACAGGCAAATTACATGAACAGTTGAAAATCAATTGTTTTCTACAGTACTCATTCAATCTACTGAGCGGTGTTGCATCTCCTTGGGAAAGTCACAGAGGATATGCACTCACCGGCCACTTTATTAGGTACACCTTGCTAGTACCAGGTTGGAGCCCCTTTTGCCTTCAGAACTGCCTTAAAAAGGAGAATTATGAGGCGAGTGAAGATCACTCAGCCTCATAATTCTAGTCGACCTGTGACAATGAAACTGTCACAGGTCGGCTCAATAGATTGGGAAGTGAGCGAACACATAGCGTCGCTCGCTCACTACTCGATGTATCCCTGCAGAGAGCCGTGACTGTCACTCACGGCTCCCTGCAGGGATTCCCCCCTCCCCTCTCCGATCCTCCAGTGCTGACTGGCGGAACGGATGGGGAGGGGGCGGGTCCAGCTGGCTCTGCCTCTAGATAGGAGGAGCCAGCTGTCACTCACGCAGCTGGGTGGATCTCGACAGTATTGTTGGGATCCGTCCCGTCTGCGGCGTCTCAGAATACCGCGAGCTACTGAGCTTAGGGTGACGGGGGGACGCTAGTTTGTGTCCTCCCGTTACCCTTAGGACTATGGGGAAAAGCCCTGACCCCATAGTTCCTTTAATTCTTTGTGGCATAGATTCAACATTCCTCAGAGATTTTGGTCCATATTGACATGATAGCATCACAGGCCCAAAGTGTGCCAAGAAAATATCCCCCACACTATAACCACCTGCCTGAACCGTGGATACAAGGCAGGATGGATCCATGCTTGCATGTTGTTTACACCAAATTCTGACCCTACCATCTGAATGTTGTGGGTGAAAATCGAGACTCATCAGACCAGGCAACGTTTTTCCAATCTGCTTTTGACTAATGTTGGTGAGCCTGTGCGAATTGTAGCCTCCGTTTCCTGTTCTTAGCTGACAGGAGTGGCACCCGATGTGGTATTCTGCTGCTGTAGCCCATCTGCTTCAAGATTCAACGTGCCGTGCGTTGGTATTCCGAGAGATGGTATTCTGCATACCTTGGTGGTAACGAGTGGTTATTTGAGTTAATGTTGCCTTTCTATCATCTCAAACCAGTCTGCCCATTTTCCTCTGACATCAACAAGCCATTTTCGTTCACATGACTGCCACTCACTGGATATTTTCTTTTTCGGACCAATCTCTGTAAACCCGAGAGATGCTTGTGCATGAAAATCCCAGATGATTAGCAGCTTTTGAAATACTCAGACCAGCCCTTCTGGCACCAACATCCATGCCACGTTCAAAGTCAATTAAATCCCCTTTCTTCCCCATTCTGATGCTCGGTTTGAACTTCAGCAAGTCGTCTTCACCAGGTCTAGATGCCTAAATGCATTAAGTTGCTGCCATGTGATTGGCCGATTAGCAATTTGTGTTACCAAGCAATTGAAAAGGTGTACCTAATAAAGTGGCCAGTGAGTGTATAATTGCTGCAAAGGCCATTTAAAATTTAATGATATTAATTGTCCTTCCATTTATAACTGAAGCCAATTTTCTAAAACTGCCAAAGTTCAATGCAATATGGTGACATGGAGGCATTTTCCTAGAAGTCTGCACAGGAATTTCATTTTTGGTGACAATGGTGAGATACTCCCCAAAGGTTTATCACTTCTAAAAGGGATGCCTACACCACACCTTTCCTCATTACAACACAGTAAGTCCACCAGCTGATTATAATCACCCTGGAAAGGACATGGTGAAACAACCCGTTATTTCTTCAGACCTGAAACAGGTAGGAATTTGCAACACACAGTTTGTTAAAATCCTTTTAATGCACATTGATCACCCAGAGGACATTGAAATCAAGAAAAGTAAAGTTACTCTTAATGTCTACGGAATACAATTTTGCAGCACCGCAGTGCAGCGCATAACAAAACACATGTCAACCTTGCTGATTACAATGTGACTGACCCCTACATCATGTAATATAATACAATCATGAGAAAACCTTTGGTCGCGTTGAGTCAAACGTTAGGCAACTTTCGCAGAAAACACATTAAAAAAAAATGACATTTTCCGACAATTTTATAGTTACTACTTTGTGCTGAACTTAATCATTGAAAAGAGCCTCCAGTTTTATCCAGCACAGGCAAAGGTTCACTTTAAAAGTATGAATGGACCTTTCAAAATGAAAGCATTCCTGTGCACTTATACAGATATGATTATGAGAACACAGGATACAGCTCTAACTACTTAAGGGTGGAAAACACAGGGTGTTTCCTTCTGGAAAAACTCGGCTATATGAAATCCAAACAGGTTATTCCAGTTTTCAATGTCAGACAAGGTTTTAAAACAGGAAACAGTAATGATCAATGTTATGCATGAACTGGTACCTCGTCTAGAAATCTCACAATAAGAGGGATTCATTATATAAATGATGGCCAATGGTGCTGCTCCTGACCTCCTTTAGAACAGGAACTACTGATATAGATCATATTTCCAGATTTCATACTAATGATGCCAGTCACTATTGTTACTAGTCAAAATAAACTGTGTAACAAAATACATCTTTGGCTTCTAGCTTTGTTTTTATTGGCAATGAAGAGGTTTCTCCAATAATAATAATAAAAAAAAAAAAAAACTATGCATTTCTGTGCAGCCATTGAGGGGGAAATTCAGGTCAAAATTACACAAAAATAAATAAAAGCACATCAGCGCAGAGTATAAAACACTACTGTCAGGTCAGGCCATCCTCGGGACTCTGAGATTCGGCAACATGTAGGACCCTCTGTTTGACTTTTGCAAAGCCTCGTGTATAAGAGCAGACCGTTTGCTTCCCAAAAACCAACCAGCATCTCCATACAATACATAAAGGGAAGGGGAAGTGTACAGGTAAGCCGTACCTTTGAAAATAATATCTAGCGATGCACAGATATATATCGTCCGCCGAAACATATCGGCCGAAAATGGCACTTTTGTCTAAATGCCGAAAGTGCAATTTTTTTGCCGATACATCAGCGCATCCCTGCTTTCTTTCCTCCCCGCTGGGCGCTGCTCTGTGTCCCAGCGGGGAGGAGAGAAGGTGTGGCAGCCGGCCGAGCGCTGCGGGAGGAGAACGCTGTGAGCGGCCAGAGTCTCTCCTCCTACACCGCTCAGCCTATCACAGTCCAGCAGAGCGGTGTGGGCGGAGACAGGCCGCGCTGTCACAGCAGGCTGAGCTTTCCTCCCTGCACCGCTCGCTCAGCCACCTGTGACAGCGTGTCAGAGAGGAGAGCGAGTACAAACACTGAGCGATCGCTGAGTGTTTGTAGATAATTGAGGACAGCGTATGTTTACTATATCCTCAATTATGAATGAATAGGAAGTGATCTACATCACCTCCTGTTCATTCATAGTTTTAGTTATAGTAAACATACTATGTTCTCAAGTTATGAATGAACAGCAACACTCAATATAGAGGATTCATGTTCATTGATAACAGGGGCTGCAGAAAATCTCTTTTTCTATTTTAAAAAGGGAAATATCAGGGGTCTGTTTAGACCCCCAATTCAACATTCTGTCCCCATTCTAGATTTTTTGAATTACTTCCTGCCTGGCAGGAAGTGAGGACATTCCACACTCAATCCAAAACAAAAATACATTTTGGCTTTAGTTGGGCTTTAAAATCAAAAGGTGTGGTTTAATGCTCATCAGTGCTGGCTAGCTTGTAACTGCAATATATGAAAGTAGAACACTGTGTGAAGCTGGCTTTATGTCTTGCCAGGGGTCCTGCAGAGAGTTTTCCCACCCAACCCAAGAATTGCATACAATAATAAGACCCATGTACCTGTAGATAGCTTTAAAACCCTGCAAAAGTCTGAATGATATATTTCTGTAAAACTAACGTATATCTAATACTAATCATACCTTGGCAAGGCGAGCTCTCTTAATCAGGTCATTTAGTTTTCGGAGTGCGGCATTCTTTGGCAGGCTCTGGATATCCCGAAAGAGGTCTTGGGCTTCCATTTCAAAGAGTTTCCTGTTCTCAGTATTCTGCAGAGGTTTTGCCCAGAATGAGCCAATGTAAACACGGACCACCTCTGGGGTGTTGATCACTTTTCCTAATGACCACATGAGGGCTCCATAGACTCTCATTAGCTGCTGGGTATCTACTTGATCAGCTTTGTTGAGAACCACCCGGATTTTGTCATCTTGACCCCGAAAGGCTTTAATTGCTTCTGAGAACTCATCGGATATATCCAATTTATGGGCATCAAAGAGGAGAATGATCCGGTCAACCCGTTCTGCAAACCACTGCAACACTTGGCAGAAGTCATAACCTATGGGAAAAAATAATAATGGTAATCACAGGCATCCTAACATTAACTTTCAATTCAGGACTAGAAGACTGTGAAATACCCGTTTTACAAAGCATCCCAAGCCAACAACCTCACCTCCAATGATATGGAAATTTGGAGACCCAAAAGCAAGTGTTAAAGAGGAACGTTACCCATATCTTCAAAATAACCTTTAGCAATGTTTAGTAATGAAAATCTATAAACACATACTTCTAGATAATTGTCGGCTTTTTATTCTTTGCATATCTTATTTTTCTTTTCCTCCCCATTCTTCTCCCAGTAGCCATTTTAACTAAGGGCAGGTTATTAGATCTTCCTTTACTCCCTGGCACATGCAACTAGGACATGTGACCATGTACATCATCTCAGTGGAGGAAAATGCCTTTCCCTGAGATCTCGTGAGATTACAGATGAGATTTCCCAGCAATGCACTGCTGATGTAATCTTCCAAGGATGCAACGCTTGGGCACAATTACATAATTTGTGCAAAAATGGACCAGGAAGTGGAAAAACAGTAATTGTAAGTAAAATAAAAATATGTTTGTTTAGCTAATGAATGTAAGATGATTTCATACCAGCACGCAGAGCTGTATGCTGATGTGATTTTTAGTCAAAAGGGGTAAAGGTCCGCTCTAAGGCTCTTAGAATGGCAGCTGAGTGCTTCAATGCAATCTTGCTATCATGCCACACTTGGCATAATTCTGTATCTGTGCCCATGTGCTAAAGTGCAGACAATCCCATTTTAAAGTTTATCTGCAATGATTAACTTTGGATTACTACAACAGCTGTGTGCAACAGGTACATTTTATGCAAAAATTGAGGTCAAAAGCCAACTTCATAAATCTCTCCACTAGCAAAGTATCACCCTCTGACTGTCTCAGCTTTCTCTTTGTTATAACTCTTAAGGTGCCCATACACCTTACGATTATCGGACAAAACTTTTCGTCCGATGATCGAATAGTCGTACGATTTTCGTACGGCAGCACCATCCTGCCCCGATGATCGCAAGATTAATTTAGCCGTAATTAACGAAAAGCACCTGGACGAAATGCGGTAATTGATTTGCCGTATTTTCGTTAGCGCAGGCGCAGTGTAGATCGTACGACTTTTGACGGACGGAAACGCCAGCAACCTTACGACAATCGTACGATCTAGCAAAGTTTTCAAACATGCTTGACCGTCAAAAGTCGTACGATTGCACAGTAATGTCGGTCGGACACTGCAATGCACACATACGATTATTGGACGAAAAGTCGATCGCATACGAAAATCGTACGATAATCGTAAGGTGTATGGGCACCTTTAGGGTTGTGCACACAGGTGTAATAAAATACTCCCATCTATTTTACAAAGCATCCCAAGCCAACAACCTCACCTCCAATGATATGGAAATTTGGAGACCCAAAAGCAAGTGTTAAAGAGGAACGTTACCCATATCTTCAAAATAACCTTTAGCAATGTTTAGTAATGAAAATCTATAAACACATACTTCTAGATAATTGTCGGCTTTTTATTCTTTGCATATCTTATTTTTCTTTTCCTCCCCATTCTTCTCCCAGTAGCCATTTTAACTAAGGGCAGGTTATTAGATCTTCCTTTACTCCCTGGCACATGCAACTAGGACATGTGACCATGTACATCATCTCAGTGGAGGAAAATGCCTTTCCCTGAGATCTCGTGAGATTACAGATGAGATTTCCCAGCAATGCACTGCTGATGTAATCTTCCAAGGATGCAACGCTTGGGCACAATTACATAATTTGTGCAAAAATGGACCAGGAAGTGGAAAAACAGTAATTGTAAGTAAAATAAAAATATGTTTGTTTAGCTAATGAATGTAAGATGATTTCATACCAGCACGCAGAGCTGTATGCTGATGTGATTTTTAGTCAAAAGGGGTAAAGGTCCGCTCTAAGGCTCTTAGAATGGCAGCTGAGTGCTTCAATGCAATCTTGCTATCATGCCACACTTGGCATAATTCTGTATCTGTGCCCATGTGCTAAAGTGCAGACAATCCCATTTTAAAGTTTATCTGCAATGATTAACTTTGGATTACTACAACAGCTGTGTGCAACAGGTACATTTTATGCAAAAATTGAGGTCAAAAGCCAACTTCATAAATCTCTCCACTAGCAAAGTATCACCCTCTGACTGTCTCAGCTTTCTCTTTGTTATAACTCTTAAGGTGCCCATACACCTTACGATTATCGGACAAAACTTTTCGTCCGATGATCGAATAGTCGTACGATTTTCGTACGGCAGCACCATCCTGCCCCGATGATCGCAAGATTAATTTAGCCGTAATTAACGAAAAGCACCTGGACGAAATGCGGTAATTGATTTGCCGTATTTTCGTTAGCGCAGGCGCAGTGTAGATCGTACGACTTTTGACGGACGGAAACGCCAGCAACCTTACGACAATCGTACGATCTAGCAAAGTTTTCAAACATGCTTGACCGTCAAAAGTCGTACGATTGCACAGTAATGTCGGTCGGACACTGCAATGCACACATACGATTATTGGACGAAAAGTCGATCGCATACGAAAATCGTACGATAATCGTAAGGTGTATGGGCACCTTTAGGGTTGTGCACACAGGTGTAATAAAATACTCCCATCTATGCTGGATCTTTCCGCCAGAAGCCTTTGTTGCCATTTAATTACTCTGGTTTATGCGCAATCCCATGTATACTGCATTGAGAGGTGCATGCGCCTAAGCTTATTCTATTCACTCGAATGTTCAATGATTTTAGCCAATATAATGAATCCATGTACATATGCACCCAGGTTGTAAGTCCTCTCCAAATGCAGGTTTTGGGTCCCTGAACTCTGCTCTAAAATATGTATCCAAACGCCACAATCTACATAGACACAAAAGCCGCATTTGTTTCTGCCCGTGTGCATGAGGCCTCAAATAACAGGTAAAAGTCAAAAGAGCCATCCTAAGGCTTATGGAATTAGGACATAATGAGTCTGTAAGAGCATACACAGATATAAGTGGGTGGGGCCACCGCCAAGTAACAGCATTGGTGACGTGACCATGCACAGAATGTTCTGTTATGTTAATGACCTTAAAGAGCAACAATGTATTTTACAAACTATTTGTAGTTATAGTATGTAGTCATTTATATTAAAGGAGCAATATTGCTTATGACAGGTTTCCTGCTCAGACGGACAACAGGCTCTGCATGTGCTCCACCCTTTATTATCAGCTTCTGTTCAGTAATTTTCCACTTTACTGGTCACCAGTCTTTATACCAGGCCTTACAACTCTCAAACTAGCCAGTGATCAATTCCTCCTATTTAGTGTGAAATCAAATCTGTATTTGTTGTCCTGCAGTAAAATATCAGGTTCAAACCTGCAATACAGCTGAGGAAAAAGGGAGCATTGGTGGCTTTTACTGACAACACGGTATAAAGACTTTCAGACATGTTGATAAGCAAAACTGAAGTAAATTGGGAACTTTAGCAGGACTGAGTGTTTTAGCTGAAACATGGAGAGTTGTACATGAGGTAGCTGATACAAACATGGACACATTTGTTGGAACCCTTCCTTGAAAAAAAGAGAACCCCACAATTTTCCCTGAAATGAACTTGAAACTGAAAAAAGTAATTTGTATCTTTGAATTTTGATTATTCAGCAGGATATTTTAATATAACAAACGGAACAGTCATGGACAAAAATAATGGGACCTAATATTTTGCTGCACAGCCTTTAGAGGCGATCAATACAAACAAGCAATTTCTGTAGCCATCAATGAGACTTCTGCAGATGCCAACAGGTAGTTTGGCCCACTCTTAATCACTTGCTGACCAGGTGTTTACACCCCGTTCCTGGCCAGGCCGTTTTTCAGTATTCAGCGTTGAGGTACCTTGGCTGACATTTATTCCATCATGCAACGCTGTACTGAAATTAATTTTATACCATTTTTTGGGGACAGATAGAGCTTTATTTTGGTGGTATTTAATCACCACTGGGGTTTTTATTTTTTACACTATTAAGCAAAAATTACTGACATTTTTTTTGTTATAAGTTTTTTCCCCCATTATGTTAGGAAACAATTATTAACACCCAATGTTTTGGTAAAATATGAAAGACGGGGTCACGTCAGGTAAATAGAAACCAAACATGTCAAGCTTTAAAATTGCGCGCACCCGCGAAATCACAAAGAACTACCATACCCAGAATTGACCATAGGCAGCGCTTTAAAAGCTTTTACCGCTCATCAGTTTAGTGTTATCAGTGATTGATGGCCCTAGAATTATTGCTCTCACTGCAGCGTTCACAGCGATATAGAATATGTGCACCCGACGCATGTTTGCATGCATGTATGTATGAGTGGGGACTTTTAAAAAATTGTGTTTTTTTTTTTAATTCTTTTTCATGTGTAACTTTAAATTATTTTTTTTGCTTTTTTTTCCCACTTAACTTTATTGTTATCACATAGAGGGATAAGAACCCCCCCCCCCCCCCTATGTGATAGCAAAGATATGTGACAGGTCCTCTTTATGGATACAAAGGGTCTCCAAGACCCCTAATGTCAGCTAGGACCCCCCCCAAAGATGCCGATGAAGCAGAGATCTGCTTTATCAGTTTCTCTCCAGCGTCTGAAGCTGGAGAGTGACACAAGAATGCGGATGTGATGTTATATACACCACTTACACATTTTGACAGCGGAGAGGGGACCGGAGGGAGATCGTGTACCGATCCCATGTCACAGAGCCACTATGCTGGTCCCAGACTCGCACCGGGCACAGCGGACGGACACGGACCGGCAGCTTTTACAAGTGATCCGCCGGCTCTATAGCCAGCGGATCGCTTACATGTTAACAGGCATCGCCTGTTAACACGCAATTTAGGCACTTTCCCGCTCACGTGAGTGGGCGTGGCTGAGCGGACGTTTAAGAACGCCGGCTCAGATCCAGGGAGATCAAGGCCAGCCGTTAATGCACAGCAGCCGGCCGGGAGGCGGTTAAAACT